TCTTCTTTCTATTTCCAGGTGTGGTCCGCCAATTTTGTGTTCTAGCTGCGCTTTTCCAGCGTAAAATGGGAAGTATGATTATACCAGAGTTTTTGTAAACTTGCCCTCGGTACAGCCTATGTAGAACTTCTTTTGGACACTGCCGCCATTAACTTCAGCCTGGTAGACCACACTTTATGTGCAACACACTTCGTTCAAAGGGTAATGCCTTTCAATCCTGCAGTTACATAATAGATTTCTTTCACTATATTTTTGTCCTTTGTATTTAGATTCCTCGCATTTTGCTTTTTTACAATATTATTCAAATTGCCAGTACAACTATAACTTAATTTTATAGTGTTTTTGTTGAAAACAATTCAGATGGCTTAGGAAAATGCTTTCTCAAAACATCAAATAAGGTTTAGATCAAAGGATTTTAAGAAGACAGAAATATTTTTGTTACATCCTAATATGTAATTAATTGATTCATTAATAATAATAATAGTTTTTGTTGTTGGTTGTGGTGGTGGAGCTGCGGGAATATCAACAGTAACAAACAAATATATGGAACAACTTCTTGGAAGTCCTAAAATACGCGAACTGCAAAAAAACTATACACTTGGGTGCTTTTCCTATCTTGCATAAATTTTAATTTCTCTCTTTTTCGTGACCAAAATTACTTTTTTTAAAATTTTTGATTGCAATGTAACTCATCTGTTTGCATGATCGAATAGAAAAAACACTTATTTCTTGAGACCTCTCATGGAGAATCAGATGCAACTCGTACTAAACAAAGCAAAGGAAAAATATGATCATCATAATAATAGGTATTTTTACCCCGTAGAAATTTCACGGTTTTCCTATTGTAATATTCTGATGAATTTTAATTCTTAACTAAGCTCATCGTTAGATAAAATATATGCGTAGAAATTCCCGTATCGCATTGTTAAATATTTGAGCTTAACAACTTTAACAAAATATTGCACTTAAAAATATAAATAGGAATGCTGGTTGTTATTTTAAGAGGTGGGTACAAATGAAAAGGTTTGGAATAGACAACATATTTCATTTCACTGAAACAGACGTTAAAAATTTCTATATTCCCTTCATTCTTTCTTTCTTTCTTTCTTTCTTTCTTTTTCTTTCTTTCTCTCACTGAAACCAAGTTGTCTTCTTTTCCCCTCTTTCCACGTGATGAAAACGAAATAGTCCATAATTTATTGGGTATTGACGGACATAACAGCCGCGACAACTAACGAAGGGTGGTTATAGTTTTTAGATGTATATACGAAATAAGATTTGCAGTAAAGATCTGTAAAAAAACGAAAATGATTTTGGTACACTGTCACTTTCAAATATTCAATTAACCTGTGTTCGATTTTAGCATACTGTATGGGTTTGCAATCAAATACCATGTATATCGATTATGAAATAGAAAAAAATTAATATCAGTTACAATTAATTGCGTCGACTTATTTTTGTGGATCAATTTCCTTTGTTCACAATATTTCGGCATTCGACTCGAAAAATTTTCGTGAATTTTTATCGTCATTTTTCCATTTTTTTTCTTTTTGGTATGGTTTAATATCGAATTTATTTGATAAATTATTTTTTAATTTATTTTTTCCATCAGGAAACGAGTAGAAAAATCCATGCCACGACATTTCAACCCGCGTTTTGCTTGTACCCCTGATGGACTATTTTTCGGAAATCGATGGTTCTCTAATCGATGATCTCCCATGTGAATTTTATAAATAATGAATCGATTAGTTTCTTTATTTTATCTTTTTTAGCATTCGCAGAATAAAAATATTCAACAATCATGTCAAATGATTTGTGGGATTATTTTCCCCATCCAAATTAAAATACCAGTTAACTCATCATTTAACTTTACGAGGTATTTCCTTTTCTTTTTTCTTTTTTTTTTGTTATGATTATTACTTCTATCGTTAAAGATGAAGACAAAAATGAAGCAAATGTAGGACTGAGCTGTTTATGCAATCTTTGATACAAGGTAAAGGAATCTATCAAAACTTTCATTCACATTAATTTTCACATTCATCATGACAAACGAAATCTTGCTGATAAGTAGTGTTGCCAAAATTGCTAAAAGGAAATACAAGATTGTACAAATTTATGTTGAGATTTGTTTTTATTCCATTCACCCCAAGCAAAACGTTGGGGATTATAGTGAACCGGACGATAGTTGAACCTATCTACTCCTACTGAGGAGAAAAAAAATAATGAATAAAATATCAGAGTTCAGGAGGAGACTTTACAATAATAGACTTTAGAAGGAACTGGAAACACAATCCTAAACAGGAATCAAGCGATAAAACTCTAGTTCTGTTCAAAAGACAGTGGAAGAGGCGCAATAATATTATATGAGTCATATTAAAAATATTATTATAAAACATTTAGTCTTAAATTTGATTTGGATGTCCTGCATTTTGCTTTGGCAAATCTAGCAACCCAATTGGTTGTTGAAAATAATTATTGTTGTATTTTAAACGCCAACAATATCTGAATCCAGTTTATGGTGGGGTCATTTCGACTTCACTTAATATTTTCAAATTATTTCGCTGCATCTACGCCATTTTTTCCCTACCTAAAAAATAAATATTCCTGACAGAAAGGAAAACTTGATTATATTAAACACTGCATTTTGCAATGCTGAACCTAAATTTTGCTTCGGGAAATAACTTCACTCAATCTGTGTTGGATGCTCAACATGAAGAGAAATACGTAAGTGAGGAGAAATAAATATAGTCCAACTTGAATTGATAGGCCTATTGTATGTACAATATAGATGAAATGTTTAATTATTATTATAATGAATTGCCAATTGTTTATTATAGAATTGCGTTGTGAATGTTTTTTTTTTAAAAGGGACGTTCTAAATGCCTTTATTATAGAAATGCATTATAAATTATTTTGAATATACAGGGTGAGTCAAAACTATGCGAGGAATCTGTCCACAATCATGATTGATGGACAAAAACCAGCGATCAACAGTACAACTTGACACACATTTCACGGGGTATGTTTGAATTGGAATTACATCTTTTATTCTCTTCTTGAGTTCTTCTATTTTTTGTTATACACGCGATTCTTTATCGTACCCCATAGCCAGAATTCACAGGGAGTCATATCAGAGCAGACTGGTGGCTATGCCAACGATCCATCGGGACGTATCCAACGATCAAAATGACGCTGTGCCCCATCCCTTTGGAAATAATCTGCTCGTCTGATTTGTAGCTTTTTTTGGCGATCTCGTGGAGGTAACTACTTTTTGTGCATCAATCGTGCTCGTGGACAGGTGGAGACTGTTCAGTAAACTCAGAATAAATGATTCCTTTCATACTAGTGTTAACATATTTCTTACTGAACCTTGCATTGTAAACTATTTTTACTGCAAACAACAGATATTTTCTATTGTCTATGACAAACATGCATGAATTTTCTTTCTCTTGTACTTATAACAGACTTAAACAGATTCTGTCGGAATTTCTTATCATTATTCACACTGTTTATATTCGGAGTATTGTCCTCATCTTTGTTGTTATGATTATTTTCTAAGCGTAGCTTAGATGCAGCACAAGGCCGAAAGTATGGAGTACCTATTGAGGATCGAACTCACTTTTCAGTCGTAAGTGATCTAGCGAGACAAGTGTGCTAAACATTACAGCACGCCGAGGAACTTTAAATGATTTTCTAAGCCTAGCTTAGATGTGGCACACGGCCGAGAGTGTGGAGCACCCAGTGAGGATCGAACTCACTATTCAGTCGTAACTGTTTTAGCGAGACAAGATTGCTAACAATTACAGCACGCCGAGGTGGCCATCTTTGTTGTCATGTCGATTCAGGTATCCTAGAAGGAAATTCAAAATTATCCATTTATTTAATCTAAGCGGGTAGATATTTCTCTACGGATTTGTTTATTACTTTTTATTTATTGAGTGCAAGTAATCCCTGCCCGGAACTGAACTTAATAGTTATCAAGCTTGTCTCGCTCAAATTCTCAAACCAACACTTTTATCCACTAGACGATTGTTCTGGAGTCCGTTCCAATAACAACAAAGATGTCGGCAATAGTCCGAATATAATTACTTTTAATAAAGTTTTCTCTTTTTGTTTATATTTTTTAATTTTAAGTAGCAACAATCTGCCATTATGTACTTTAGAATAATTACTGTAATCAGATTTAAAACATCTTAAAAGAAAAAAGTTCCAATGGATCGCTAAAAATCTTTCTTTGTGAGATTTTAAAATGTCTGTCCGTTTAATCTATCACCACCTCACTCGATGTATACATATGTGTGTGTGTGTGTGTATTTCTATTAAAGTATGTTCATCCGGTATTAGTTTTTCTTATCATAAGCGTTATTTAGTAGATACAGTGTATACTCGAGTATAAGCCGACTGAATATATAGTGACTTTTTTGCATGCATTTTAGCCCTTCCAAAAATTTACCTATGTAGCGATTTTCCAAGCGTAGCTTAGATGTGACACAAGGCCGAAAGTATGGGGCACCTAGTGAGGATCGAACTCACTACTCATTCTTAATTGTGCTAGCGAGATAAGCTTGTTAAGCATTACACCGCCTTGGGGAGCCCCCAAAATTTACTTATGTATATTGAAACCAATCACTGATTGGTTGCACTGATAGAAAACTGATCATAAAAACACGCACTTTACTCGAATATATACGGTCAATGTGTTTTAATAGTTTTTTTTTATTACAGCTTACCAACATTTTGTGGGTTATTTAAAATCGAAGTATATTTTTGATTGTAAGATTTTTTTGTGTGCAAGGAGTGAATATTTCATTAACAACGTCATTTAAAACAATAACATTTTTTTCTAGATTCAATTTTTACTGTTTAAATGAAGGAAGAGGAGATGGATTCATGCCTTTCTCAAACGGTATTTGCGTTTAAGTATTCGAACTCAGTTCAACATTCCGAACTGCTACCCATTACATTATTCGTATCATCCTAAATATTAAAAGTATAAGTGCTTACGGCCATATCACGTTGAAACACCGGTTCATATATGATCACCGAAATTAAGTAAAGTCGAGCCTGGTCAGTGCTTAGACGGATGACCGCTTGGGAAGACGCTGGTCTGTAAACTTGGATGTGCCGGTGGTGTAATGGACAACGGCTCGAAATTGGAAATCGTAGAGCCTGGTTCCAATTCCAGTGGTGTTTGTTATATTCACTTACGCGCAAATACCCTTTGGAAAAGTATAAATCTACCCATTCTCCCCCTAGCTATGGGTTAATTGGTAGGACTTGTTTCAGATACTCATTATTGTCTCCAACATATTCTTACAATATAAAAATATTTTCTAGCTTTAAATAACCTGCAAAAGATTGATAAACCGTAAAAAACAAATCAATCAATAAAAATATATGCCTGCGTAATGAGGATTAATTGTCGGCTCGCTAAAGATGTAATCTTCTTTACACACACACACACAATCTCTCCCTCCATCTCTCTCTCTCTCTCTCTCTGTCTGTCTCTCTCTCTCTCCGTAGGTACTTTCTAGTACTTTAGCTGATGTAGTTCAGTAGGTTTCTAAATTATTCCTAATAAAATGTACCAGTTATAAATCTTTGCTGGTAGTTTAGAAAAAGCCAGTTTTAAGTCACATTTTCAGCGTGTCAAACTTTATTTATAATGCGCGTAATCTCTTTTCTAACTCATGATCTGAATCGATGGAACCGAAAGCCAATTAAAGAGCGAGAGAGCAAGTCACGCTGGTGCCTGATCGTCTCACGATGAGCAAGATTGATATTTGCACTATCAATAAGAAGCTAAAAAAACTTTCATTTGAATTATCATTTTTATCTTTCGAACTTTTTCGACTGATTTATCGAAGCCATTATGCTGTCATTGATATTGGCTGTATAAATTGATATCAATCAGTCAGATCAATAGCTTCATAATGTTTTTTAAATTAAAACTTTACAGTACGTCGCCATGCAGAGAAGTGTTTCCGTGTTCCTTTTTTTCACATATTGATATTTTGTGGGTGTTAAGAAACTACCCACAAATCTGACTATAAAAGATAGTAGAACTGTGTCAAGAACTTACAAAATGTGTAATCTGTGAATATTGATACGTCTGAATAATAAAAAAAAGAAGTGTTCAAGAGAATGTTGTGAACACTAGGCATAAAAAATCACATTTTTTTATCCTGCAGTAATCTCCTACCTCTTATTTTCGAATATAAATAAAGCGGGAATATGAAGATCTGGCATAGTCCATTTGGCCTCGCAGATTCGGCGCGGCCGGTTCGACATACTACTACTTCGTCGCTATAATCATATATATATATATATATATATATATATATATATATATATCGCCAGTCCTTCAAAGATAAATGTAAGAAAAAAAACAAACGGCACTGTCAAAGCATTATTGGGATTTGTTGGATGGTGGCTTAACTCCACAAATAAAGTGGAAAATAATCTCGAGAGGCAGAACTTCAATAAATTTAAGAGACAGATGCGACTTATGCATGAAAGAAAAATCCTCATAATAAAACATAAAGATCCGAATTTATTACTAAACAAACATAATGAACTAATTTTTAAATGCCGACATAAGAACAACCTAAATCTAACTAAATATATTTAGGAATAACTATATAGGAAGACTAATATTACATGATCTTTGTTTTTTGCTTTTGGAAATGTTGCTATGCACACATGAATGCGAACACATAACTGTATGTATATAACTATGTAATTGAACGTGAACATTGATACGTCTTTTGATATGTATATGTATATGCGTTTATATGGAAAGATATTTTGTGTATTGTAGGCACATATTTGGAGTGAGTAGGTATGGATATGGATATGTATGTATATATACTTGTATGTATATAGGTGATCTGTTTTTTTTTTGTAAAAATATATGTAGTTATATGTGTATATGGGTGTATATATGTATGTGGGTACATGTATATGCGTGGATATGTGTGTATACAATTTTTTTATAATTTCTATATATGTATGTGTGAGTGTGGGTGTGTATATATAGATTGGTACATGTTTGTCGTTCCATAGATATGGGATGGCGGGTAATCTGTGTATGTATGTATGTATGTATAAATATAAGAATTTATGAGTTCATATATAATATGGGGGTATATAGATATAATAATGTAATTAAGTATGGGTTTTGATATGTTTTTGCATGCACGCACATGTGGGTGTATATATGTATATGTATATATATTTGTGTGTGTGTATGTGTATATGTATATATATGTGTATATGTATATGTATATATATGTGTATATAGGCGTATATGTATGTATATATATATATATATATATGTGGTATATGTGTGTATAGGTGTATATATGTATGTATATGAGTGTGTATATCTATATATGTGTGTGTATATGTATGAGTATATACATATATATATGTATATGTGTGTATGTGTATATATAGATATATGTATATATATGGATATGCATGTATATGTGTGTGTATATGTGTACGGATAGGTGTATATGTGTGTATGTGTATATTTATGGATATATAGAATATTATAAAAGAAGGACTTACAGTACTGTTATCAATGTTTTATCTCATTTTCTCCTTTAATATTCTCCAATTGGAAGTGTGAGTTTAAAATTTTTTATAATATGGAGGTAAATTTTTAAATTGATACTTTAATTTAAATTGAAATATATTACCCTTTAATAATCATTATTGATGATAAAATATTTAAATTGGAAATTTTTTTGATATTTATGTAGGTGTTAATACATGAAGTTACCTATGTATATCGGTACATGGGTACCTGTATGAGTGATTGCACATGTAAAGGAACGTATGTATATGTGAGATTTGCATGGATGTGTATACAGTATATGACAGAGCAAGATCTTTAATATTACCTTCAAATATTACCCCATATTAACGTAACTAAAATTTAAGTAAAAGAGATTACCTATCTAGAAACAGTCAAGAGTTAAATTCATGAACAAAATTCAAACGAATAGAGATGTCAACTTAATAATCAATAATAAAATAATTTAAAGATAAAAAAGATTACTATAAGTAAACTTTGAAATAAAATTTAATTCTTTTAAAGTACTTTCTATGAATATTTTTCTAATCGACTATTTCATAGAAAATCCCCAAAATTTAAAAAAAAATTAAATCACTAACAAACAACAAATTAAATTGTTTGTATACAGTTTAGACATTCAAATTTATATCAAACATTATAATCTTTATGAACCCCCAAAATAACGCTCTCAAAGTAAAACAAAATGACATCGTCTTTTTCTAGCCGTTTTTTTTCAAAGAAAATTAGTGACACCTTATCTTATGACTTCCTTCGCTCTTTTTCTTTTTATGTTTTTTTTCCTCCTCTACCCCATCGATATCAATATATAACTTCCGTTAAGTTAACCGTTTAAATGTGTCAATATCTGGACCTCAAGTAATTTAAATATAAAAGAAAAGAAAGTTTAAATTGCATCTAACTCATTCATGTCTTCTCTCTCCCTCCTCACTTCCTAACTTCGTAAATTTACATATGCTTATTACGGCCCGTCAAAAATGTGTAAATTTCTTTTCTTTTTTTGTTTCAACCTTTGAAAGTAAAGTCTGATGATCCGCAGTCTTTTAAAAGAGCTGTGCTGAAATAATTTATTACATGGAACCTTAAAGTTGGACTGTTTTTATTTAAATTATACATATATATATATATATATATATATATATATATATATATATATATATATATATATATATATATATATATATATATATATATATATATATATATATATATAATATATATATATAATATATATATGAATATATATATATATATGTATATATATATGAATATATATATATATGATTATATATATATATATATATATATATATATATTCATATATATATATATTCATATATATATATATATATATATATATATATATATATATATATATATTCATATATATATATATATATTCATATATATATATATATATATATATTCATATACATATATATATATTCATATATATATATATATATATATATATATTCATATTCATATATATATATATATTCATATATATATATTCATATATATAATTATTTTTTATAAAAAAATTATAACATAAGTATGTTATAAAATCACTACAAAAATAGCCATTTTGTTTCAACACACTCTGTGTCTTATCAAGTGATGATGTTGAAAATAAAATATAAAAATAATTATATCTGCTCTACTTTGTATTGAGCACTCTTTTAAGAATAGTAATTGTTTGTTATTGGAATTCATTCCGTATATACCAATTATATACTTTGATATTCATATATATATATATATATATTCATATATATATATATATTCATATATATATATATATTCATATATATATATATATATATATATATATATATATATATATATATATATTTATGCTTGCACTTGTTTCTACTATATTTGTGTAATGGGCACCTCGTGGTGTTGTAATGGTTAGCAAGCTTGTTTCGCTATAACAATTACGAATGAGTAGTGAATTCGATTCTCACTGGGTGCCCCTTACTTTTGGCTTTGTTCGACAGCCATGCTACGCTTGGAAAATCACTATATTTGTGTAATATTCTATATTCTGTAACATACATCATCAGTGTTTGCTCTCATTTTTATCATGTCAAAAATACTCACAAGCTAATTTCTACATTGATTATTTTTTTCATTTTATTTCATCCTGATGAACAATGTCATTTACCTCAACCAGAAGACTGACAAGTCTCCGCCTGTTGTCTAAATATTGGGTAATGTATAAAACGAAAATAAAATATCCCCGCGTAATCCAATTGATTTTTTTTCATATGACTGAAATACCTCGAATTTGTGGACGATCATAAAAGATATTGCATAAGCGAAGCTAACTGGCGTGTATATGTAGGTGATATGCATGAATACTTCAGCCATACGCTTAAGCACTAATTATCGATAAACTCAGAGGAATACGTTGAATATTTCACACATCACTGGAAAGAGATAAGAAGTGAAAATTTTCCAAGGTATAAATTCAGCGCGTGTCTTAGTAAATAAAGG